TTAACAAAACCTTAGGGGTGCACCAATAGAGATTTTGGGGGCCAATACCTATAGGCGATTTTTAAGGAAGCATATTGGCCAGTACTGATCCAATTGCCAATACCAGCCTGGCAGCTTGAAGAGCCGTGTCCAACTGGTAAGCTTGTTGTGGTGGAAGGGGAGGAGGGAAGGAATGGGTGTTGGGCGGGACACAGATCAAGGCCCTCACAGTAAGGGAGGAGTGGGGCTGGAGCTGGGGCTGGGGCTGGGGCAACCACTGGCCAGCCAGGGCAGGGAGGGTATGGGATGGTGCTGCGGTTCATTCAGGGGGTGTGGGGGGGTGGGGCAGCTCCCACTGCTGCTCGTCCAGAACCCATGTGTTTCATGGCTCCTGCTGCTGCTCATCTCAGAGGGCATGGGTGGGGGAGTGTGCCCGCAGATCTGTGTGGGGTGGGGGAGGCTCTTCCCAGTGGGGGACAGGGCTGCATTGCACTCGGGGTGGGTGGCAGTGGTGCTGGGAGGGAGGTTGGGGGGCTACAGTAAATTTTGGGGTGGCTGCAGTCCCCCCCTGTAGCCCCCTCCCAGTGCTGCTGCCACCTGCCCTGAGTGCAGCCTGCCCCATCCCCCCTCTGGGAAGATCCTGGAGCAACCCCAGCCTTAGCTCGCCCCACACATATCTGGGGTACACACACACACCCATGTTCTCCCAGACAATTGGCACGCAGCACTGGGAGCCGTTTCCCACCCCCCTTGGATGACCCGCAGCTCCGTCCTTTGCTGCCTGCCCCAGCCACACTCCTCCCTCACCACAGGGGCCTTGATGTGCCCCTGCCATGCCCTTTCTCTCCCCCCTCCCCTTCCATGACAACAGACTTACCAGCTGCACACAGCTCTCAATGCTGCCCGGCTGTGCTCCTCGCCACCTACATGCTGCGCTGCAGCTGCGCACAAGCATGAGCCATTTATCGGCCACATTATCAGCCAAATCAGGCTGATTTCTGATACAGACAATTTTCTTTATATCAGTGCTGATCCAATATC